CTTAATCACTTTTTAAAGAAATTAGCTATTTTCTAAACAAGTTCTACATTTTCATGTATATAACCTATTTATTAGCACAACACAAGAGGAGCGTTGGTTCTTTTTTCACTCTATAGCTTCTTAATCTTCTAGCGAGTAGGACTATGTAATGATTTTGGTTTTCAGCTTTCGTTAATTTTAATCAGTATTGTTAATTTTTATTAAAAAATAACTTTATTTTTTTATAAAAATTAAAAATTTATAAATAGTAATTATAACCCAAGTATAAAATACAACCTGAGTTCCATCTACTTACTGTACATTATAATAACATTATTCATATTATTATAAAATCCGAACCTTTTTATTTTATTGAGACATCGAAATCGAATTTGTCGCGGCGACATCGCCATTGCTGTTCCATTAGAGAGGCAATCATTTCGCGATAGCGATCAGCAATTACGGTCTAGTACGAATATTGTCTGTCGTATCATCTATAGGTGGAAAAAATGAACATCGATTCTCGATTTACAACGTATTATAATTAATGCAATGTATTATGTTTATGGAATTTATGAATTTCGTGATAGACTAATTGCTTCATAATGACATAAGTATAGCCTTACTTTTATTTACTTCTAAAATTGTGAATATAAAAAGTTATTATGAAACATAAAAAAAGTAATCGACTTATATTAAATCGGATACATAAACTATAGACCAAAACGTGCCGCCGGCGAAGCGGAGGGGAGTAGCCATAGAGTTTTTCCTCGATAAAATAATACAGCCATAGAGTTTTGTACGTTGTAGAGCCATGCTGCATCTATATTAGTAGTATAGTTGTAGCACGAATGGGTCGGCTCGACCGGGGAAGGACCACGCTCTCACAGAACACCAGCGTAAAATAACAGCTTAATGGTGCTGTGTTTCGTATGGTGAGTGTAGAGAACCGGAGACACTTTTTATTGGAAAGAGGCATTTCATCTTAGTCCTCACGGGTGACAACCCATCTGCATTTTGATTCTTTATTGACGATAGATGTAGATGTCTATGGGTCACAGCAACCACTTACCATCAGGTCGACTGTGTGCTCGTTTGTCACTCTACCCTATAAAAAATAAATAAATACAGAACTCTCTGTCATTTTTTGCGGGGGGAATTTGCGCACACAAAAATAATCGTTTATCATTACGAAAATCACACTTATATATAAACATAGATACATTATAACAGTGTGGCTACAGACTCGGATCAGTTGCTCGAACGAATTGCATATTATATGAAGGCGAGCGGCCTGTGTTGGTAAATAAATCCGAAACCACACGTCCGTTATTGTTGTAATTTTCAAGTTTGAAAATAAGTAAGTAGCAATAATGAAGAGTAGCAATGATTAAAAATTTCTTGTATATGTAAGGTCACACCATCTTTTTGTAAATTTGATGTGAAAAATTCGGCATTTTTGTAGGACATCAATTCAGCCGCGCAATTAGACTTAGTCTAGTGAGCAGTGCGGCTGCTACTAGTTTTATTTTACGCTTTTTACGCCTGCGTGGTGACGCTCCTCCAATCCACCGGTAGACCTTGTTGCTCTATTACAACGAAACCAAATTTCGAAAGTTAAATGTTAAAATAAAACCCACCACAATTCCCATTCAGAGTTATATAATGGCACTGCTAGTCTGCTTGCGTTGATAACTCGTAATCTACCTCCGAAAAAACCTACTCAACGTTAGGACGTGTGAGTGCTTCACTGCGGGTACTATAAAATCTACACGCAGTGTGTGGTCTCTGACAATATTCTGAAGTTATTATTATCATTTTTATTTTTATGAAGTTAGACTTACTTTTATGCATATATTTTTCTTCCTTTTCATTATTAGAGGTCCACCACTATAAATTGACCTTTCGCCTTGCAGCGTGAGCTAAGCTTTTTTTCGTAATGGACTTGTCCGGTTGTAATTTTACGAGTGCCAAAAAATTTTAAAGTGTTTTTTACAATAATTTGTTGTTTCCCACAATATGCATGTACCCAGAACTCCGCAATGTGATGTGTATTTTGAAAAAAGTAGAGATTTTGAAAAAATATTTTGGAGCTGACTACAGTCGAAGGCGATAGTATTTCTACTTTTAAGTCGGATTTGTTTCGCCGTTTCCACTAATAGTTTACAAACCAAGACATAAATCTTGCATCACTAAAACAAAAAGTGCATCACTTTTACGTATGACAATCCAATTCATACAATTATTTAATTGTTGAAACAAGAGCAACAATCCGCCAGCGGTACACATCCCGTCAAAACTCACTAAATTTGCATACATTGCTACGCTTACTGGGCAGTACCAGATATCAACGTTGATTGTGTTTGTTAATTGTGTTTGTAAAACACAATTGCACGACAATATTGGAATAATTTCAAAACGAGTGTATGTAATGAGTACTTGAAAAACAAATTGAAATTTCAAAGAATCAAAGGCGTTCTCAAAGTGTAGAAAAAAGTGGTAGATTGTATTCCTAGGCCTTCTATACAATCAGCCAAAGAGTTTGTATGGCGTCTATGGCGCTAAAGCCTTTTCGGAAAAGGACTTTTTTCTATAGGATAGGGTAACAAACAAGCACACAGTCCACCTGATGGTAAGTGGTTGATGTGGCATATAGACATCTACATCTATCCTCGTTTGCGAATCAAAATGTAGATGCGTTGTCACCCGTGAGGACTAAGCTGGAATGCCTTTTTTCCAGTAAAAATGGTCTCCGGTTCTCTACACTCACCATACGAAACACAGCAGTGTTAAGCTGCTATTTTACGCTGGTATTCTGTGAGAGCGTGGTCCTTCCCCGGTCGAGCCGACCCATTCGTGCTATAACTATACTATTAATATAGATGCAGCATGGCTCTCCCACGTACAGAATTTGTTCGGGTGGCTGGAAGTCTTCAAGTTCGTGTGCGAGATAAGAGTAATGACTGTTGAAAACAGCACATAGTTGTAGCTCAGAAGTAAAATCAATATTTAGCTCTTCAATAGAACGTTGTTGCATTTCTTGATAAAGTAGATACTTCTGCTCCAAGTCGTGGAATAGAATTGAGAAGCTTCCGAAGGAATTTAATTACCTGTGTTAAACCCGCTTTCAGTCCCAATGCAATTCCGTCCTAGCCCGAGGCCTTGTCGTTTATAATGTGCTCAAGAGTCATTTAAATTTACTTAAGACTGATGTCTGTGATTAGTCGAAATTGAAGGAGATTTCTTCTTAGATGGTAACTCCCTTCGGTCTTCTGCTTCGACACAGATCTTTGGCAAAGACTTTAGATTATTGGTTTCTCTAAATTGCTTCTTCAAAACGAGCTGTGCTGCAATTACATAACTCGCGTATCTGTCTGTTGAGTTGTCTGCATGCGTTCGTACATCTAACGAAGAATACAACTTCTGCTAAAGACTGTAGCTTTAACTTTTATTTTGTTGCAAAATCGAATTAAGTTTAAGGGAAAGTTTCATTAAAATATTTGTAAATATAAATAATAGAGAGTCCTTATAGTTCACGGGCTAAGAGCACGCTGCCAGTACACGAGCAACTCTGATTCAATGGCCGTCGGCGCTAATTATTATATGTGGTTAATTATTGCAAATTAAAAACGTGATTTGCCACGTGCTTGGCGGTGAAGAGAAAATTCGTGAGGAATCCTACATGCCTAAGAAATTAAAAAAATATTTTTAAAGACATATCCTTGTCTCAAAACACTCTCAGAATTAGATGAGTCACAAGTCCAGCCGTGGGACGTATTTATTTTGTAACTTTACTTTTTTACTTTGCTTATAATATATCAATCAAAAGTATATTTTGGAAAGTAAAGGGAAGCCAAACCTATTTTCTTCAGAAGAACAGGCAAATAATTCATTCATATTTTGCTAAGCCAACTGATCACTATCGTGCAAAGGATTGCATCTTTATATATATACATACTTTTAGTATCTTTAACATATTGATTTAAGTTTTTACTCAGCAGCGAATGCAAACATCCTTGAAATAAAAAAAAATCATCGAGTTAATTACACGTGCAATTCGGCGAGCTTACCAGCTTAAGTGGAGCAGCGTGATGAGTTATTTCCTGCTTTATAATCCTCATAGAAATGAGGTCAGTGAGGGAACATACCTATTTTGTAAATAATGGCTGTTACTTTACTGTTTATTTGACTTCTTCGTTAGTTTTGTACCTTCTGTACACTCCACTGTTCATTAGGTGCAGGCTCTCTCTATTACCAAGTTTAAATGTTTTGTTAAGCTGAAACTGTATAAAAAGGGTTATTGTAATATAAACGAATACATGGTTGATAATAGCCCCTGGGAATGAGGTGGTCGCTTCCTAGCAGTTTCTAAAATAAATTTTGTAAATAATACAACCATTAAAGCAACACATAAAAAAAAAACATACAGTCGTATTGAGTACCGTCTCCTTTTTGAAGTCAGTAGAAAAAGTACCGCTGGTTTCTTGCTGGTTCTTCCCAGGACAGAGGGTTTTTTCGAATCAGTGGTAAAGTAAAAAGTTACTTTTTATAAGAATCGCACATGTGATCTATATTGAATAAGAATAATTCTAATCTATTCTATTATTACGTTCCGGGTGAAAATCCCCGCGTCGGGCTAAAAAAAATTAGTTGTTATACATACAATTCAGTACTATTCTGTCTTGCGCAGATGGCTATTCTCCGATGAGACTGGCCGCCGTGACCGAAATTCGATCTCGAGGACATCATTGTTATTATTTACTTATTTTTATTGTATTTTTGAATTAGTACATCCGAAATATTAATGTTTGTTTGAACAATAATTAACTGTGAACAAAAGTTGTATCATTTTTTCCAGTTAATATTTAAGCTTGGTTTGTTAATTTACGAAACGAGACCGTTAAACTTTAATTTATATTTTCTTACAGGTCCAACATTAAGTTGCCGATGCTCGTAAAACTGACAGTCTCAGAAGTTATTGTTTGCTATTACAACTGGGACTCACGCTTCAATTGAGGACGATGAACGAAGACAACATTTTAAGTTTTACAGCGACTAGTAACAACACCGACCAATTTATTAATTCATCTTATCAAAATATTTCCTCCTTCCTAGGAGCTAATGGATACAAGAACATCATTGACAACAAATGGATCCAAGGTGTATTCTGTGTCTTATATACTATTATTTTTGTCCTTGGACTTTTAGGGAACATTTTAGTTTGTTTCGTTGTCATAAGAAACAAAGCGATGCAGACCGTTACAAATCTATTTATCACTAATTTAGCCCTCTCGGATATTTTACTTTGTATATTTGCAGTTCCTTTCACGCCACTTTACTCTTTCCGTGGCTCATGGAATTGGGGTTCTTTGTTATGTCATGTAATGCCTTTTGCACAAGGGTGCAGCGTATACATATCTACATTAACATTAATGTCTATTGCCATCGACAGGTTTTTTGTAATTATTTATCCATTTAGACCTAGAATGAAAATAGAGACATGCATTACAGTCATCATTATGATATGGACATTTGCTATTACCGTGACAATGCCTTACGCGATTTATATGACGTATTATGACTTAGACATTGGTAGATTTTGCGAGGAAACCTGGCCATCGGAGAAACTACGACGCATTTTTGGTTCAGTAACATCGGTATTACAGTTTGTTTTGCCTTTTATTGTAATTGCTTTTTGTTATACTTGTGTAAGTTTTAAATTGAATGACAGAGCTAAAGCAAAAGCTGCAAGCAAAAATTCACGTAAGGAGGAGTTTGATAAAAACAGAAAGCGTAGGACAAATCAGATGTTAATTGCAATGGTGACAATTTTTGGTGTCTCTTGGCTCCCTTTAAACATTATTAACCTTTGCAATGATTATTACATGTATGCCATTCATCTGAAATATTACTTCCTCATATTTTTTGTTGGTCACGTCATCGCTATGTCTTCAACATGTTACAATCCTTTTATATACGCATGGATGAATGAAAACTTCCGCAAGGAATTCAAACAATTGATTCCCTGCATAGAAACTTCTACACAGCTCAGAGGCAACATTCAGATGGAACAATTAGGAGTTGGTCCATCTGAGAAGACATTCAATGGAAATACTACAACAGACAGCTATCTATCTAGTTCGAATCGAGCTACATCATTTAGACACAAAAGAAAACCTAGTGCAGCGGCTGATGTTGAAAAAAGTGGGGTTGAATTAAACGAAGATCTACTTAATGTAGACGTTAAGCATTGCCATATCTCGACTAGTTACAATTTGAGACGAGAATCGGTGAAGTTGCGACTCATCAACGAGGAGTCATTTGATGGATCACCAACACAAAGCCAATTCTAACATTTGATATCATGGGTAAGAATATAATATTAATAAATTTGCCAGTATTGGCATGATATTTTATCTTAGACTGAGAGTACAACACTCTCTCTTTTGTTTTTGATATTAATTTGACATTACCTCTTGGAGTTAGTTAAGCATCTCATGAAAAGACTTGTATGTACAAATAAATGGTGAACTTTTAGTCAAGTTCCATTATATTAATGGACGGAAATATTCAGTGAATTTTGAACACAAACTGAGAATACAGGTACAATAAATTAATTCTTTGTAAAAGGAATAATTCTTTAATATTTGTATTTTACAGGTGCGGCCTGAAAAACGTTCCCACTTGTAAAATAAAGTATGATTGAAGAGTGTCCGATATTTTTGGATTCCATTTTTAAAGTGGTAATCCAGTTCGCTGCTGGAAACTTACTACTGTGGATTTTCTCAATACGCTTATAAATAGTATATTTACCTTTAGATTATAGAATTTATGTGAATGTAATTACACTATATTAAGATTTTACCGCACAAACTAATTATTCAGAAATCCTTATTAGCATCACTGCCACTGATGTACTTAGATTTTTCCTCGAACTAAAACATATAGTAAGTTTAATTAATTCAAGGCAAGTAAGGATAAAATTATTATAGCACAAAAAATTCTGATCAATATTAAATAAGATAAGCCTTATCACTGCTACCCTTAATAGTTTTTCAGATAAATAATTGTGATAAACTAGCACACAGTCCCTCCGTTGGTAAATAAACGCTGAAAAGGTCTATAGATACTTCCATAGACCTAGATAGATCATAATTAAGACTAAAAATACAGATGCATCGTATTCCGAAAGACTTATCCGTCAACATTAACCTTTTCCCGGTGGAGCCATTCACGCTGAAACCATAATATACTACAGCGTGGTCTAAAAAAAACCCAGAAACACTAACACAATCAAAACTGGAAAGCAACAAAACTTGTAGAAAGATTTTGGCCAACATTTTTAGTTTCCGTTCTATTTGTCTAAATACTGGTACTTGAGTACTATGAGCACGGGATCACGAAGATGTTTTTCGCTTATGTGTATCGTTAATATATATAATATTTTTTGTCCTTTCGTGTAAAATATTCAAGGAGTCCTTTTCTAATTTGGTCTATTGTGTTGTGAATCTATGGTCTCTGCCGCTACTCAGAGAGAGAGAGAGAGTCTATTTATAGGCACTGATATTAAAAAGGAATATTATATATCTTATAAGTTTTCAGGCACTTAATAATTTGAGACGATTTTTAATTTACACGTTAATAATTATTTCTAGATCCTTTTTTCTATCTAATTGGATCTAGAAATAATTATATTGATGTTTTGGTCTTTCCTTTTATCACGATTTCTGTAATTAAAATAAAATAAAAATACTGTATATTTTCCTTTATGATTATTTATTTATTGAACATATTTTATCATTGTTAACATATAAGATTTTCCTAGATAAGATCCAATTTTACAAGCAATTTATTGATAGTAATAATTTTGACAATTGTGTAAAAAATATTAGATTATATATGTTATGAGATATACGAGTATATATCAGCGTAGACGCATCAGAATTCTTCGCACACTATTTTCAATCCTATACGATCCATGCACTCCCCAATACCTGAAATGAAAGTTTCAGTATTTGGGTTCCTCTCACAATCGTAACGTGCGATCCTCCAAGGGAAACCTTATGTATTTTTCGTCGCCGTACCAAATTTATATCTCAGTCTTTCGCCGCTAAGCTATGGAATAAATTACCTCCTCATATCAGGAAACCGACTTCTGTTGCAGCCTTTAAAAGAATGGTGACTGATCACTACCTTCCTTCTTTCAGCAAAACTTTCTTATTTAAATGTTTCTGCTTAAGTGTATTGTAAATTTTTTAAGTTGTTGTTGTATAATATGTTTGTATGCAAGAATGCTTAAAATGTTTGTATTATGTATTATTTAAAAATTATGTATGTTATTTATCACGTATAGAGTATATTATTTAGGTTATTTGTAGATTTATATATATATATATATATATATATATATATATATATATATATACACATATATAAATACACGTATAGATATTCTCAAGTTTTAACGGCACCTACTTAAGTTTCCCTACTTAGCTCGTGGTTGACTGGTAGAGAATGCCCAAAGGCATTAAGTCTGCCAATTGTACATTTTAAGTGCAATAAATATTTTAAATTAATAAATTATGTGTATACTACGTACCTATAAATGTTTAAAAAATGTATTAGATAAGATTTACCTCTTTACCTAGAATTAAAATAAATTTAAAGCAATTATTTTGTACCTTTTGAAAGTTTAAAATGATTCCAAAATACCTATAATATGTTAATGTCTTATGAATTTTCTCCTAGAACATGTTAACTTTAAGTGCTATTAATGTAAATTAAAAAAGTAAGGTTTTACATTGACCCAAATTTATCTTATAACTGTTCAATTCAATGTGGATAATATATTTTCAATAAAATAACGCACATTAAATCCAAATATCTTACTGTCTTTCTTAGCTAGAAGCACATTTTGTATTCGTATTGAATGTATAGAAACTTTCGTATTGTTGCACACAAATATTATAGCAATAAAATTATGTATAACATTAAATATTTTAACTAGCAGTATTACTAGTAGGGTTTTGAGGCATTTATATATAAGTACAATTAGTATTGTAGTTAGCTGGTTAATATTTAACAAATAGTTTGAAAACTGATTAACACACACATACACAAGTGCACTTGCGAACATATTATACTAATTCCATAAGAAAATACTGAAAAAAAAAAACTATTGGTACATCCGATTGTGCATGCCTCAAGCGCATTAAAATAATTACGTATAATATGATTACCTTTACCTAAAAATTTTAAAGTGATTTAATACACACAAGTTTTCATTAATAATAATCTCATTACTATACTTCCAATTTTCCGATTATTTATGTCAAACTTCAATTAAAAAAAGTTTGGAAAATCCAAAAGTCCACGACTCATAATGCTCATATGATAGTGAAAAAAAATGTATATTGTAGTTCTATTCGTCAAAGAGTTCCAGTAGCAGTCACCGACAAGTTACCTTCAAGTCACTTCGTCAAGTCCGGAGGTAAGGTCTATTCATAACTAACAAAACGAGCCCAAACTCGGCACATCTAGTTCTCCTCGTCGAGGAGTTCCAGTAGCAGTCATCAAAGTTCACCTTCAAGTCACTATATCAAGTCCAGAGGTAAGTTCTCATCATAACTAACATAACTAGCACAATCTCGGCACACCTAGTTCTACTTGTCGAGGAGATTTTTTTTAAAGGATAAGGGTGAAAAACGAACACATAGTCCACCTGATGGTAAGTGGTTACTGTGGCCCATACACATCTACATCTATCTTCGATTACGAATCAAAATGCAGATGCGTTGTCACCCGTGAGGACTAAGATGGAATGCCTCGTTTCCAGTAAAAAGGTTCTCCGGTTCTCTACACTCAACATACGAGAGACAACAGCGTTAAGCTGCTATTTTACGTTGGTATTCTGTGAGAGCGTGGTCCTTCCCCGGTCAAGCCGAAGCTTCCAGTGGCAGATATTGAAGTACATCTTCAGGTCTCCATAAAGTCCAAGACATGTATGTATATTTATATATAAATCCTGCGTACTTTTTTGCGAAACAAAATATTGTAATAAAAATCTGTGATTATAAAAATAATAATAATATCATACCTTGGTCAAGTATGTATCAAATTTGGTTTTTGGAATATTTTGTATTTCTACAGGATCGATATTTTTCAGCACGAACCGCTGTAAAAAGCGACCAATCACGACGGTGGCGGAGCCCGGAGTAAAAAAGTATTCTGAGCCCGGAGTGAGGCAAAGTCTATTTAGTAAAATAAATCTATACAAGGCTGCTCAAACCACCGAAACATTCGCTATTTTCGAGCAGAAAAAAAATTATAACTAAAAAAAAAACAAAATTATACTGCCATTTATATTCCTTGGCTTCAAACATGATAGATGTAGAGTTTAAAAATAGCTTGAATTTCACAATTGATATTTTCAAAAGTTATCGTACTTACCCCTCCATGCGGACTCCATGCTGATAAATATACATCTTATGCCACTAAAACCGCTTTTTTATGTAAAAATAGCAATTGATTGATTTAAAAAAAAAATAAGTTCAAGAATCATTTATCTTTCTGACAATGTGCCTTTTATATCACTTATATGTTCAATATGATTCTTAGATACGATTTCACGCGACAAAACGTTGAAATCTTGATTTTTAGGCGCTAGTAGAACATACCTACGCGTTTTGTGCTTAAGGCATGCAATATAATCTAACATCTAATAAAGAATAGGGGGATCAATAGTGTGGTTAAGAGGTAGAAAAAAGTCAAAAATAAAAAACCAACGAGTGGTTATTATACACAAGCAGCTTTCCTTGCCTGGTACTCTCTCACGCCCCCCCCCCCCCCCCCCCACCTCGTCTTCCAGAGTATTTGTCACGAAAAATTGAGCTTGAAGCTGTAAATTTGAATTTTTCGAACTTAAATCTTGTGGTAACTGTATCCAATCTATACTCTCAGAGAAAAACCTCTATGAGATATAAAGAGAAGAGAAACAGGGACTTTATGATTTCATAAGAGGTCCGTTTTCTTGTATTGGGCGCGGAACACTAAAAACTTTGTGAATATAAAAATAGAAGAATAATGCGCAATAAAATCCGTAAAAATTAGATTTATTTAATTGATTTTTTGAAATGTTTATGACAAAAAAAATACACTTACGTTCAAATCATATGTGTCTCATAATTTATTATTCCTCTGTTTAGAAAGTGATTTGATCGTATTTTGCTAATACTTTTATTAGTTCAAATACTGTTTATATTTCATATTTAATAACTTAAAACGTGTAGTCGAGTCAATGTTAAGCAATAAATAAAATGTGTAATCATTAGAAGTTATTCTAAATGTGTTCCCG